CGATCTTCAGGGTTAAAGGGTGAATTAGCAGTTCCACACTAACTCCAACCTTTAAGACCATTTATTGTTAAACTGTGTTGAACGATCAGCAGAGCTTTATTTTACTGTAAAGGAGGATTATTTGATTTTTACCTACAAATCTAATTCAGTCTGTGGAGCCACAACGGGACAGTAAAAGAGCCGCATGTTGCCGACCCCTGGCATAGACCTACCAACCAAATCTTTTTCATTCTTTTTACCGGGCTTGATTAAGGTAAGATTTTTTGGGTCTGGCAGAAAGTCACACCGTGTAATGATACAGTGGAGAGAGCGCTGGTGTGGAGCTTAAGCAGAGGTGCCTGTGAAAGAGCAGCTCCAGCCTGAGAACAGCATACACAGCCAGTCTGATGCTGGCGTCGTCTTCCATTACTGCAGCGGGGGAAAAAAAGCTCTATTAGTCTGTCACTCAGTCGCCTCTCATAAAATCAATTTCTCCCTTTTCTCCTAACGACGAGCAGAGGGGGAAAAAAGAGCGGGGAGCTGTACATGTGCTTTACTTTTTTTCCTGAAACCGCTCCTTCTTCCGAACTCCAGCGCTTACATAAGAGCCATGTAGGATGGGATTTTGACTACAGTGGAAGCCCAGGCAGAAGCGGCAGAGATAGCCTCCTCAATGAGCTTACAGTAGGGTGCAAATGGACGAATTCGTCACAGAGATTCTGCACCTCCTCTGCTCTCTGGCAGCTAACCACGGGCCTCAAAGTGCTACACAGCATGAAGGCCAAACATGGCCGCCAGGAAGGGTTTCTTTTAAGACTGTCATTGAGCTAGGCTAAATGACTAACACTTGTTTACCTCGAGGATTCTTTTGTTTTCCAAGAAATAATGTGCACTTGTGGGGTTTTACTGGTTCTGGTTCATACATGAGATCACAATTCTTTCACTGGCTAACAACTGCCAACGGAGAAGGCTAGTCTGGGCAAGGTTCCCTGTTCACTGCAAGCTTGTAGCTTAATGCTAAACAAATTCACCTTCAAATACATGACTGCACTCTCTATTCTGTGTCCAAATTTAGCTCAGCTCAACAAATAACGGTACAATTGGTGTCGTTAAAAAAACAGCGTATTGGACGCTCTGACTCAGATGGACTAATTCCGTTTGCTCATACATATGTAGCGCTTACTCACCATTTGAAATGTTAAATCATTGTTCGACATGAGTGCATGTAGTTGGAATGGGAGTAGAAGGAGGGTTTCATGCTGCTATTATCATCTCTGTGTAAAAGACAATGTGTGTCAGGCTGACTAAACCTCCGCTAAAGCGCAGAAGATGAGGCTGAAGACGTCTGTTTTAAAGCTGCATGATGAAATAGTGGTGAAAAGCACGGCCCTTTTAAATGAAACATGCAATAGTTTGACAGAACTGTGAGGTCGGCTATCAACATACTTCAGCACACTGGAACTGTGCAGAGTGTGCCGGCTATTTTTGATATGTAGATCAGATGTTGGTCAGTATGTTCTGGGGTGCTTTGTAATGCCTGCCAGTGTTTCTGCAGTTTGGGTTGCCAGTTTGGGCATTTCAACAACCTTCTTGTTTTATACTCAACACTAGTTGTCAGCAGAGTTCAAGTTAAAGAGTCAAAAAAAGACAAAAATTATCCAACCATCTAGGCGTGGGCCATCTTGTCAGGAGATCGCAAGTTAAATCCCTGGTGATGCCACAGCCATCCTTGGCCAGGTCTCCAAGATAAGCACAATTGGCGCTCTGTCTGGGTGAGTAGGATGGCCCTCCCTCTCCCCCATCACTCAGGGTGATGCTAGCCAATGTGGGTGTCTGTTAGCTGATGTAAAAAAACTGGCATTCTCCTGCAAGCATGGACAGCTGTCTGATGATGTTGCGTCAAATGACTTGGAGGAAGCATGTGCTAGCCTCTGTCCTCCCAGAGATGGTAGTATAATGGGATTTGGGGGAGAGCTAGCAAGTGGAATTTGACTAAATTGGGGTGAAATTGGGTTCAAATGACAAAAAATATTACTAAGTAAAAGAAATATATTTCCAACTAAAAATATGTGTCAAGTTTGTAATATATATATATATATATATATACGTATATTTTTTATATACAAGTACATTTTAAAAAATAGACACTATTACAAAAATGTAAGCTGCATATGTGCATATATTGGTGTACATTTAAATATTCAAAAATGGCACATTTAAATTTGTAAATATATATAGATATATAGATATCCATGTGTTTGTTACAGCATATGCATTCGCCGTCAGGTTGCCAAATCTATGCTTTTTCCACAAATTGGGCTAGTTGGAAAATTACCCAGTTTCAGCTTCTGATTTTTACATAAACTTTGTGCTGGAGATGTTTGCTGAACCTGGCAACCCTGCCTGACATAAAGAACAATACAAATACAGCAAGATCTGTGGACTATCTGTAAAAAGGAAAACTTAACGGATTATTATATTATCTACATAAATAAAAGAAGAAAATAAGTGTTGCTAACATTCCAAACGTTGTTGGTAATTGCAGCAGAGAGTTTTGTAAAGGGGGGGAACAAATGCTGATTACATAACTAACAGGTCAAAAGGCACCGACAAATGATCTAGCATTGCATATAATGAGCAGGACAGAGTAACTAATTTCTTACAGGTTTTCTTGAGCATGGAAAATTTCTACATTAGAGAGACAGAAACCACAAAATAACTCTGCGACTGACCCTGATGCTGAGCGACCACAGCTGAGTGAATGAAAGTGGCTTGATTAAAAAATGAGACTGACACATTTTGCATGTATCATTAAATGCACACAAGGCAATTGTAATAAATTGAATAAGTTGAATAAATGATTACTGTAAAAGAGGTTATTAGTATATAGTTATATAATTATACAATTACACTGAGCATATTAAATGGCAGACTAATCATAATATAAGACAATATAATTTAAAGACTCCCCCGAACCGGTTGTTGAACTCACCATTCCCCTGAAATTTTAAATTTTAACCTCGACCACCGGTTATCTGGAAGGACGTATTGAATTGCTGAGCTCTAGCCCATTACAGACCCAAAACAACAAAAAAAATGCCACTGCAGTAGTGTTTCAGAGGAGTTCAGGGAAAATACAAGTCATAAATAAAGTTTCAGCTAGGTTTTTGCCCTCACTGCCTCCTACTCTATCTTGTGTCGCCGCTGAGACAAAAAAAAAACATCGAATGATAGCCGGAGCTGCAGGGAGTGGAGAAAGGCAGAAGGCTCGAACATGATTAGTTACCCTGACTAATTCCACATTGTCAATTAACTGCGGCCTTGGGCCACTGGAGCCCAGCCACGCACCCACGGCGGATGGCAGGCCAGTGGGCCGAGCATCCGCTTCAAAGCTGATTTGCAGGGCTGTGTGGGTACACTTGGCTGAGGACGGCCGCCAAGAGCTGAGACTACAGGGTCACCACGACTCAATGTAGAACGACCACAAAACACAGTTTTTCCACAAACTTGTGTACTTCGACACCCACAGTATACAGTGGATTCAAACTGGTTGAAACACTTTATTTTGATAATCCACTGTGGATGCTTGAATGCTTGATTCTGAGGAGCAGAGGACACAGTGTGACTTACTGTGAGCTATAAAAATGAACAAACTACACTATACAGATGAATGCAGTGGGCAGCCACTTTTGACAACAGGTGTTGGGCCGAATTCTGCCTCCACTGTGCAGAATCCAACAGAGTTATGTTCATATTTATAGCTCACAGTGAGTCATCCTGTAACCTAAACCACATCAAAAAGTCCATGCAACCTTAATGAAGACCTGGATGCAGTTTGAGTGCAAAACTTAAACATAATGTTCGTTCTAACTCTACCTATAACCCCTTATACTCTAAGGGCCTGTATTCATTTCTCATCTCTTTTACTACATCATTAGAAGTTTCATAGAAGTTACTGAATAATATGTCTTATTATTCAAGGGATTAACCTCAAACTAAAATGTAACATAAATATCTATATCTAAAATGTCTATATCTAATCTTCATCCTAAGTTTCAGATAGTCTGTCAACTTGTTTTATTCATCTGTTTATTCTTTTAGCTATAGGCTCCTGCATGAATGCACTATTGCCTGCCATATTAACAATAATATTAGTCAAATTTCAAATGAGAGATTTTTGCCCTTTTGTGATGTCATATCGAGGGATGTGATCCCTCGAAATCAATCAGAATTACGACAGATGCTTGTGTCAGTGGCTTTTTTTCCACAGTCCTGTCCCCAAACAAACTAAAGTCTTTTGGATACTCTACCTTCGCTCACAATGCTTGAATGATTTGTTGCCTATCATAGCCACTTAACCACTGTGCTACACTTTACAGTGCTATTTGGGTGATTGGATGAATTCTGATTTGTGTTAGTCACTAACACATCTTCGTGGTTATTACCCCCAGTTTGCATTTGTAATCTGAAATCTCTCACAGATTAAAAAGTCTGACTTCTGCCAGAAAATAAAAGCTTTAAAACCCTGCTGCCATGGAATTGCGTACATTGCCGTGCCTATACTATTGCCATCAGGGTTTCTGGAATGCCCACACCATCCTGATCAGGCTGACGAAACGTTGATTTTTTCTGGCTTTTCGCTACATTTCAAATGTTGTTTAGCATTTATTTTTTCAAATCGGACGTCTAATGATCATCAAGTCACAAATCCTAAGGACCATTGAGATCATTTGCAATCGAGCTGCCATCCTCTTTTTGCATATTTGTTGATAAGCAAGTTGATACTGACCATCAAATTAAAGCCTGACCATACATGCTGGGAAAAGTGTGTTGGGTTTAACATGTGTTGTCAGTTTATGAAATATTAAACATTTCACTGATAAAAGAAGATGATTTATAAAAAGGAATACAAATAATGATTATCTTCACTGTGCCAGTACAGATTTTATATAGATATCATAGTAGACCTTGTTTCCTTTGTTCAGGGTACATAAACATTCACACACACACCCCATCCTCACCTCGAACAGCCGCAGCACGTTGGCCACCATGATGGACACGGAGCTGGCCGAGGCCCCGATGACACCCACCACGCGCTCGGGCTTGCGTATGATTGGCTGCTCGCCATTCGAGCAGCGGATGTCGGACGTGTCCTTCTGGATGAGGGCTTGGACAAAAGTGAGCGACTGCTCCAGAGCGTACGTGTCCCGCGAGCACGTGTCCAGGATTCGGGCACCCAGAGTGATGTTGGGCAGCAGGTCTGGGTCACTGTTGATCTGGTCTAGAGCGTACAGCATGGCTTCCATGCGGTGGATGCCCTTCTCCTTCTTAATCTCTCCACAGGGCAGGCCCGAGGGGCCCTTGGCGTGAACAGGGAACAGACCGCCCAGCGTGATATCCCCAAGGATTTTGATAGAATGTGGATGTGAGTGCTGGTGAGCCCAGGCCGGACTCAGCCACACCCACAACATCCACAGGAGCCATGTGGGACAGTGCCAATTGCTCCAGCTCAGCAGGCAGGCAGCAGTGCGCTGGTGGTGATGCGGTAACAGCGGCAGGGAGGGGGGTGTCATGGTTTGGTCGGTTTTTAGAGCAAGAGTTCATCCACTACCTGAGGAACCTGTAAACAAGACAAAGAAATTTAATAACAGACATGCACTAAAGAATAATCTGGAGTTCAACCACTTAAACTGCAGGATTTTATTCAGTTGTAAGTTGTAGTACTTATTATTTAGTATCTACACTGCTGAAAATAGTGTAGTCATATCTTAGCATCTTTATTTTTAACCCTTGAGTGGTGTTGATGTGTTTGTTACTCAGTGGTCTTGTGGACCTACCACATTACTCTTTTTTTAAATCAATACAGCCATAACAATCATAGTAAAAATATTTAAAATATCACAAGTGTCCAGTGTAGTGTTCTTCTTTAGCAGCTGTAGCCAGTCAGCAGCCTGTCAGCAGCCTGTCCATGTTGTCCACCACATACACACACAGACATACACACTAACAGCAGGCCATGTAGGAGGAGAACAGAGTGGAGGACACAGTGCCTCCACACTTTTATTCCCTGTGGGTTCACCTAACACCACATGTGTAATATAAATGTGTGGGGGGTGAACAGAGTGAAGTCATTGAATAAAATGTTATTTTATATGTTCTTCACAGAAAATGAGCAAAGGCCAAGAATCTGAGGTTGAAATAATAATAAATCGCATCACTTTTATTTTGGTAAACATTGAAAATGGGTCCCACAGACCCCAACACCACACAAGGGTTAAGAGTATACGGTGGTGGCAGTAAATTAGTCAGAATTTTTAGAGTAAGAAAGGTAGAAAGATGTTACTGAGGAACGCATAATGCCTGACACGTGCTATCCTGATCATCTGGAGGGTGGAGCTGTTTTTAATTCCTTCTTGAAGCTGAAAACATTTTTGGATTAAACTCTGTGGAAGACTAAACTCACAGCCCAGTGTTAACTCAGAAAGGCTAAACTGTATTTGCTACCACTTATTTTAATATGATGTCTAGTGATAAATAGCACAAGTCAGTTTTTCTTAGCTGCTGACAGCTTAATAAATCAGTCAGATAAAACAGGACTGTACATGTGCAGTTAAAACGATCTGTTTGAAGATAAGTGGGTGCTACGGCGGGTAGGGCTGTCGCCTCACAGCGAGAAGGGCCTGGGTTTGATTCCGCGGCTGGGTGATGAGGACACTTTCGGTGTGGACTTTGCATGTTCTCCCTGTGTCTGAGTGGGTTTCCTCTGGTTTCCTCCCACAGTCCAAAGACATGCATTCAGGTTAATTGGATATGCTAAGTTGCCCCTAGGTATGAATGTATGTATGATTGTATATGTCTGCCCTGTGATGGACTGGCAACCTGTCCAGGGTGTTTCCTGCCTTCCGCCCAGTGATCCAGCACCTCCCATTACCCAGAGGAATAAGTGGCTTACATTGTGTGTTTGAAGATAAGTGCAACCCTTTGCATTCTTTGAGGTTTTTTCTAAAAGACCTTGTGTAAAAGACAGCATATCCTCACCCGCTAATGTTGTACTGACTAAGTTTTGTCTGATCATCTAAGCTGTTTTCATGTGTGCACTTGGCTGTTTGACTGCTTTTCTTGACAGCCCTGATGTAAGTGTTCGCCCCAACATCAGGAGATCATGAGTTTGAAGCCCAGCCACTCATAACTGGAGACCAAAGAGGAGAAAAGGCCTGGTGGGACTGTGTGATGGAAAGAGTCCCAGCTAGTGGGGAAGTCAGTTTTGGGAAGTTGAGCGAAGACTGATTGAGGGAGAGGGAGAACTCTGAGAACTTGGGCTGGTGTTCTGGGCATCTTCTGCCTGTAGCTAGAAGGCCAGACCCCCTCAGAGCTATAGTAGGACTGATGTAGGACTGAGGAACAGGGAGGAGATGGGGTGGCGGTGGGGATTGCGAACACTTCATCACAGGAATGGAAGATGAAGAGGATGAATTTAAGGAGCGTTTTATTGAAAGGAGGGGTTTCAGGCATGCAGAGGACGCAAAACAAAGTAGTTTGAGTTGTGTGAAAAGTGTCCTGAAATTCACTCTAAATGTCTTTGTGATACGTAATTTTAGCTGACTTTTCATTTTTTACAGTGAGCTACAGAACACCAGTACTTTCTTCTATAGTCAGCTGCTACACCAATCTCACTGAGGACTCAGATGAGGGAATCCATATCATTTGCATAACAAGAAACCACTAAACGTGCTGATTTGATCTGAATGTTCTGCGTCACGTTCACAGCACACAAGTACAGTCAGAGTACACAAGGCCTGAAAGTGGGCAGATATCGAGGTGACCCCTGAAATCAGATGATCCAATCTGTTCTACAGGCTGCAGATTGCTGGGACACGTCCGCTAGCAAGCCAGCCGCTATCAGCAGGTCAGTGTGAGTGAATGGAGAGTATTATGGGATGGCAGATGGCAGAGCCTCAGGGAGCAGAGGCGTATGCGCTGGTGAAAGGAACCGGTCTGATTTATACTGATGGCATGGCTAGCTGCAGAACGACTTCTTTCACTGAGGTCTGGAGGTCAGGAAAGAGACAGGGTGTCTGCAAGGAATGAGAGAAACCAGGAGCGAGTAAGCGAGAGAGAGAGAGTGAGAGAGAGAGATGGGGTGATACATAAGAAGAAATAAAGAAAGAGTGAGAGTGAGGGACAGAAGCAGAGAGAGGGATGGTGAAGGTGCTCTGAATGTTTCAAGGAACTTTTTTAATGGCTTGTTAAGCACCAGGAGCAACATAATGGCACAGTGTGAATGGAGGAGAACAATGGAGAACAGCAAGAATGGAGGAGAACAATGGAGAACAGCATGAATAGAGGAGGAAATTGCAGAACAGTATGAATGGAGAAGAACATTGTAGAACAGCAAGAATGGAAGAGAACAATTGAGAACAGCATGAATAGAGGGGGATATTGCAGAACAGTATGAATGGAGGAGAACACTGTAGAACAGCAAGAATGGAGAGAACAGTGGAGAACAGCAAGAATGGAGGAGAGCAATGGAGAACAGCAAGAATGGAGGAGAACAATGGAGAACAGCAAGAATGGAGGAGAACAGTGAAGAACAGAATGATTGGATGAGAACAATGGACAACAGCATGAATAGAGGAGGACATTGTAGAACAGTCTGAATGGAGGAGAACATTGTAGAACAATATGAATGGAGGAGAACATTAGAGAACAGTGCGAATGGAGAAGAACAATGTAGAAGAACATGAATGGAGGAGGAAACCTCATATGTCTAAAATGACAACTTTACAGGAGAGGGGAAAACATACTTTACTTTTAATGTAAGTCAGTTGGACCAGAAATATTTCCAAGTATTTTTGGGCTGTTTCTATCAGTTCATTCACCATGAAATTTACACACAATGGAAAGGACAACAGGCATTTTCTATTTATGTTAGAAACTAATATATATATAATATATATATATATATATATATATATATATATATATATATATATATATATATATATATATATATATATTCATGTACAAATAATGTACACATTTAACTCAAATCATTTTGGATCATCACCTTTTTCAGTGCAAACATGTTCATTTAGAATTTTCTCTGATTTTGGTGTAAACTTGACTTTCTACTGATAGTAAAATGTACAGATTCTCTAGACAGCATGTTCCTATTACCACAGAACAAGCTGACAGCTTTTTTGCTGCATTCATGTTCACAACTGCAAGGTCACTTTTTTCGGCACGTGTGCTGACGTCCTCTCAAATAGCTCCAGCAGGGCCGGAGAGCCGCTGCTCTTTTGCACACGCTGCCTTTTGATAGCTTTTACAGTAGGCAGTGGATATTGAATTTGTCAGCAAAACCAAATCTTGCCAGTTTTATCACATTTTCCCCTTCCTCGGGGTTCGTGGCTGTGCCAGCCAGTTCGGCCTTCGCTCTCACATCCCTTAAAATCACCACTCGGCTGATAGCAATCAAATTGAAAAGCTGAATATGAAATTTGTCGAGTAATATGTCTCCCTTACTCTCATCTGCAATAAGAGAGCCCCAGTGTGATCGGGGAGCGGGAGGATGTGTGCATGTAGTGCTCGTATGCGTGTGCTGATGTTTGTGTGTGCTGCAACAAGCTGTCATCCTTCTCCTGGAATGAAAAGTCATATTTAATATTGCAAACTAATTGTTTTGAAAGAGGTTTCATCACTCGCCGAGGCCTAATTGAATTCTCTCTCTGTAAACTGGAATAGGCTCCGAATCAGACGGTAATGTGAGGAGACGTGAGGCTCTGGCACAACCTCGTAAATATGATTTTCGTGCTGATGGAACATCACTTGGAGCCGCTAAACATAATGGAAGGTTTCAATAATGCACAGAGGTACTTTTCTTGTTGTTGCTGTGGTGGCTTATAATAGGCCGCATATTGACTATGTTACAATGCGTCCATTGTACAGGAGCAGTAAATACTGCAGCAAAAAACTGGAGGTTTTTCTCCACCAGCACAGGACTCTTATCACATTCATTCACTCACAGTGCGGGTGAATGTAGAAATATGGGTCACACTTTATGGTGAAGGTCCCTTATAGCTAATCTGAAAATGCTGAAATTGTTAACAAAGTAGCTGGAGCAGTTCAGTCCATTATCAACAGTGTTTGGATTATGATTAGGACTAGAATCAGGATCAGGGTTTGGTGTTGGGTTGAGGTTTAAGGAATACTCTTCCTTAAACCTCAACCCAAAGGTTGACCAACCCTCATTTATTTTGATGTCCAGCATTGCGGGAAAAAAAGCAGTAAAAGTAAGCAGAAAATTTCAGCAACTAAATATCCATTTTTTAGTATTTAGTGTGAATTCCAGTAGATTTTACAACTTTTCAGGAGGCCTTCTTTCAGTTGTCCAAAGAAATCTGTAGGGTTTTTTCACACCTTCAAAGTTCAGTCTTCAAAGTTGGTTTTGCATTTTCTGCTTCTCACAATCCAAATAAAATCCCAAACATATTCAGTGGTGTTCAGGTTTGGACTCTGGAGTGGTCAGTCCATTGTTCAGCTTCTTTGTTTGATGTGTCCGTCTCCTTTTCTCAGTGAGGCTTCTTTACAGCTACACATCCTTTCAGACCCACAGCGCTGAGTCGTCTTCTC